TGATGATGATGATTGCGGTGGTCGTGGCAAGGTGTTCGAGTGCGGAAACTCTTTTCCGAGAGCAGATTCATATCGTTTATCTCAGAAGTGGAGAAGGTAACAGTGGCGGAGGTGGTTGGATTCGAGACGACAGGACCGACCGAGGATAGCAATCGGTCCTTTGGCTCGAACGTAGTTTCGTAATCCATCTCGAAGCTTGGTTCTCGCTTGATCTTGCCAACGGCAGCAGCCGTCGTGGTAGCCGGTCTGATGGTGGCGCAGCGATCGGTGTTTTCCACCGAGACGGAGGACATGACCGTGAGTTGGCCGGCAACCGAACCACATTCGAGGAAATTGTCTTCGTAGAAGCTCGCCGATTCCGGGGAATCTGGCGTGACGCACGACGGGCTGCTCGGTATTTTGGCGGTAACTATCGGAGGACTAGGAACATAATCTAAGGCTGGTCTCTTGTCCAGAGCTAGTCTGACTTTCAAACGCGATACAGGCTTGCTACCGCTGGAGTGACCTTGTAACCTCTTCATCGTTGCGCCAGTCACTCCTGTACTTGCGTTACCGGTTTGCGTATTGTTGTTGTTGTTGTTGCTGCTGCTGCTGCTGCTGCTGCTGTCGTTTCGCGTGTGATGATTTTTACCGTGTATCAACCCCATTGCCGATTTCCGTGGTTTCTTAGCGCCTTCCTTTGCTTTCGCGCTTACGGTGTTACCACCACCTCCCGTCGGCTTCGACGTTTTTTTCCTCGGCCTGTACTTATAGTCCGGGTATTCCATCATGTGCAACTGTCGCAGTCTCTCGGCCTCCTCGATAAACGGCCTTCTCTCCGCTTCGTCCAACGTCTTCCAACGTCTTCCAAGCCGTTTGCTGATCTCCGCGTTGTGCATGTCCGGTTGAATCTCACATATTTTCCTTCGTTCGATCTGTGACCAAACCATAAACGCGTTCATTGGCCTCTTGATGTGATTCGGATTGTTCTTCTTGGTCTGCAACAGAAGAGCGAGAGGGCAAAATTATCGGAAATTCTTGGACAATGTGATAGTCCCTAAACGTACATTCACGTTTCGCTCGTAAATACGCACGTATGTGTGCAACGCATATATTTACGGCCGCGCCCGCGCAAAGTTGACACATCATACACGTTCTAAACGTATCGTAGAAAGAACAACGATCGCGCGCCTCTGTGCGACAAGACCACCACATGCGTGCGTTGTCTACACGCTGGTGCAATGATGCGAATTTACATATCTTATTAAATGGTAAGTTACGCGTCAAGAAGTAGATAACGCGTAGCATGCGCGAGCAATCTCTGCCCATTATACTTTTAGATATCGCGCCGATTATTCGACACGCACTAGAGTGGAAATCGAAAGGGTAGAATGTAGGTTACGAAGGTGTGCGCGAGAATACAGCAAACTCGTGGTACGATGATCACGTGACGCGTAGATTATCGTATAGGAACTCTCGAGTGCTCTCCTCTCTTCCCTTTTTTCCTTCTGTTGAAATTGACATTATCAATGTACACACAATCATATATTCCGAGAGATGTTCGCGACTAACTTACGATCGTTTCATCTGACCTGTATTTATACGCGATTAGCCAGCCTGACACTTCACATACGTATATAATAATGCATGCATACGTGCATCGTTATTATTATATATCGATACACTCGAGTCGCGATACGTGGACGATCGATCGTGAATGCAACTATTCAAAGATAAATTTGTTTCCTCTTCTTCCATATCCCGTCTGATTTCTAATTCCGACTAATTTATTTCATTTCTTTTTTCTTTCTTTCTTTCTTTCTTTCTTTCTTTTCAGATTCTCAAAAACGAAGGACACGAAATATATATCTTCGAGAGACGTAGAGACGAATTAAATTTAATTGAAGGACGATCGTAGCGGGTGGAAAAACGAAGGCGAAGAAAGGTGTAAGGGTAATTGAAGTAAATTCAACGAGAACCATTGAGAAATCCAAAGTCACTGAAAATAACAAACGAACGGGAGGAAAATAATCTTTCCTTCTGCCCGATGGTTTGTCGCTATAAAAATAAATAACTATAGGTATCCTTCGTGAGAGAACAGTTTAGAGAGAATAACCGTGCAATGACCACCAAACGCGCGCACAAACATTCTCTTTCTCTTTTCAATCATCGGGAGGAAGAAAGCAGGGAAGAAAGAAAGAAAGAAAAGCAAACAGAAGGTACACGGCATTTCTTCCAGTCTATCGGAAACGCGAGCTTGAAACGATATTGACAATGACTTTATTTTAAACCGGAACGTTCCTCCATTTCCCGATAACACGTGACAACGTAAATCTACGTGCAGGCAATTAATAAAACAACCTTCCTCTCCTCTCTCTCTCTTGGTCTTGAACGCTTATCGCGTTTTCCAAAACAGCTCGAGATCAACAATAAATCATATTACGTGTATTCCTCAACATACTATACTATACATCAACTGTCAACTTCAAATTATGTTATTAATAATATCTAACAATCACGGGGAAATATATTGACACGTACGCGACAGCAAAAACAGATGGCAAAAATGTCGTGTGTTTCTCGGTGTATTTCGTTTTCAAAAAGGAAAAAAAAAAGGAACACATACCTGCGTAGCATCCGAATACGGTGTCGCGGAATTTTTATCCACAAGTAATGATCCAAACATAAGTATCCCCGAACTGGAGGGACCATCCTGCTGTTGCGGCACCATTTTCGAAATTTAAAGAGAAGAACCTCCTCTCTTGTATCACTTTTCAACACTTTCGGAGTCTCCGGCGCCCGGAGACGACAACACTACACACTTCCCAGAGGAATAATAACGAATCTGATTCGTAGAAAAACAGTTGGCCACGCACGCCAAAAATTATTTTGCGTCTTGCGTCTCCTCGCGACCTTGAATCTCTCTCCCTTGTGTTTACTTCTCTCTCTCTCTCTCTCTTCTTTCGACCAATTCTTATCTCTTCTCCTTCACACCTCTTTTCTTCTGCTTCGTCCTCTCTGCTTGCCACTTGGTCTTTCTTTTCCCTCCTTCTTTCGTCTCCTCGTTTTTCCTTTTTTCACCGCTGCGACACGATCAGTGACAGCAACGGCACCGCCACACTTCGTCGTAGATGCGCGAAATAGTGGCGAGTTCAAAGGATTTGGACGACGACAACACGCACGAATTTGTTAATACGACGAGGATTCAATCTCTCTGCTAAGCAAAATCGTAGACACGTGAGAGCGTGGCAAACGATTCTCCGTGACACGTACGTCGAAAATCGTCGAAGAAGTCTGTTCTGCAAGCACGATCAGCAACGAAAGAGACTGGAATTATAATATTTAACGTGCACGCACTTTTTGCAATGTAGTTTCACACTGGAAGGGAAACGAAAAAAAAAACAAGAACACGTACCGAAGGAGCACTTTGAAAAACGGACAAATATTTGGAAAAAACTATCCGCGTGCGTCTCGATGCGTACGATCTGGCGTATCGTGAACGTGTGGTAGAAAACGAAAAACCAATTGCTCAAGATCCGATGTCTGCTCGTCGATCACGAGATGACATTATCGACTGACGTCGTAACGACGCTCGCCCGACGAGCGCTCATTCGCAACTAACTCGCCCTCTCGTCAGTCTTCTACCTCTATACTACGCTCAGCTGAGACCTCTCCCTACTCCACCGACTCACGTAAACACGCTGCCTTTCCAGCCAGTCCCGATGCAGCCGTTCTTTTCTCCCTCTTTAACCCTGAAACCCTGTACGTTGCTCCCTTTTCTCTTTCTTCTTTCTTCGTTTCCCGTCTCTGT